CTCTGAGGTCTCAGAGTCAGATGCCGAGGCGCGCGCACGCTCGCCGGCGCAAAAATCTTCACCTCTGTCTCGCTGGCGGAACTCTGCCGCCTCTCGCCTCTCGGCTGCTTAGACCATGCCGGAGGCCTTGGCGGCGGCAGCCGCCTGCTTGAGGGCGGCGGCCTCCTCCCGACGTCCCGAGTCATGTCGGCCTCGTTGTTGAGTCCTCTGTGGCGTGCCACGGTGAGGACGTGCGCGCCGGTTGTCGGGTGGCTTGGGATGTAGTACCGGAGAGTCACGGGGCGGGGGAGCTGAGCAAAAGAATTTGGGCCGGGGGGGGAGCGTGGTGGTGGTGGTGTGGTGGGGAGGGGGTGCAAAGCCAGCAATTTTTCTCGTGGGCCACGGCGTTCGATGCCCCAATGCCACAGCCTGCGTGGACGCAGCGGCGGATCTCATGGATGGTACCGGACGGCAAACGCGGCGCGTGCCGCAGCCCCGGCTCTAAGTCCCGCGTAAAGCGGGTGACGTGGGCCTTTTCGGACGCAGATTGCCGCCGCGCGTGCGCGCAGCTTCTGCTTTGCTTCGCCTACGAGTACGCCAAGCTCGGCCGCTTCTCAAAGTGCCACCTGCAACTCGAGCCGACCGACTCGACCTACCCGATCCTCGGCCACTCCTGCTTTGCAAAGACATGGGACGGGCACGCCGCCATCATGGCGTTCCCGCCCTTCCTGTCGCCAAACCCTCCGCCGCGGCCGCCGTCTCCGCCGCCGAGGCTGCCACCACCGCCGCCTCCCCCAGCGCCGCCGCCGCCGCCGCAGCCGCCACCTCCGCCCCACCCGCTGGCGCCGCCGCCGCCACTCCCGCCGCCGCCGCCCTCGCCCTCGCCGCCGCCCTCGCCGCGCCCGCCGCCGCCACCTCCGCCCACCCCGCCGCCGCCCCCAAGGCCGCCGCCTCCCTGGTCGCCGCCGCCTACGCCGCCTCCAGACCCGCCGCCGCCCGAACCGCCTCCGCCGCCGCCGCCAGATCTGCCGCCTCCCGCACTGCCGCCGTTTCCGCCTCGCCCTCCCTTTGGCCCGCCGAGGCCCGACCCGCCATCGCAGCCGCCGTCGCCTCTTCCGCCGCCGCCGCCGGTCCCGTCCGCCCCGCCGAGCGCCCCGCCGGCGCCCCGCCCGCCGCCGCCGCCCTCGCCGCCGCCGCCTCCCAACCCGCCCCCTCCGCCTCCCAACCGCTGCCTTGCCCTGGTGGGGCCCATGGCGAACTTCGACACGTGCACCGACCTGCGGAGCGCGGACCTGCGCGGCGCGAACCTGTACCGCGCGACGCTGAACAACGTCGACCTCTCGGGCGCGAAGCTCGACGGCGCCGACCTGAGGTATGCCACGCTGCAAGGCGCCGACTGCCGCAGCGCGGACTTCCACAAGGCGAGCCTGTTCAAGGCCGACTTCAGCAAGGGCGGACCTCTCCTCGGCCCCTCCTAGACCGCCTCTCCTAGACCTGCCCTAGACCTCTCCTAGGCGGACTTCAGCAGGGCGGACCTCTCCTCTGCCAACCTCTCCTCCACCGACGCCTCCGAGGCGTTGTTTACGGAGGCGGTGCTCTGGCGGACGGACTTTACGCGAGCCAACCTCAAGCTCTCCTCGCTGCGGGTGATTCGCCAAGGGGGCGAGGTCACCTTTGACTACGCAGGCGCAGTCTCGCCCAATATCGCCCAGTCTCGCCCCCTCATCTCGCCCAATCTCGCCCAATCTGGCCCAATATCGCCCAATCTCGCCCAATCTCATCCCCTCGTCTCGACCAATCTCGCCCAATCTCGCCCAATCTCGCCCCCTCATCTCGCCCCCAATCTCGCCCAATCTCGCCGCAGACATCTCCGGCACGCAGCTGACGGACTGCACTTTTGTGCGCTCGACCTTCCGCCACACCGACCTCTCCAACTCCGCGATCGAGGACCTGCCCTAGACCTGCCCTAGGCCTCTCCTAGACCTCTCCTAGACCTCTCCTAGACCTCTCCTAGACCTCTCCAACTCCGCGATCGAGGACAGACCTCCCCATATCTCCCCATATCTCCCCATATCTCCAACTCCGCGATCGAGGACCTTCGTCAAGCCGGCGCCCCAACCATCAACTCACGAGCCCGTCCACCAGTCCCACCAGTTCATCACTTTTGGACCTTCGCCATCTCCCATGAATCGACCCACCAACTACTTGCTCGCTCCCCGCCACTCTCAGGATCTCCGCCTGGCGGGCTCGCGCTTCGACTACACCAACTTCGCCGGCATCAAGGTCATCGACACGGGCATGGAGAAGGTGTCTGCGCCCCCCACCGCTCACCCACGCGCACTGGGCCTTGCACTCGTAATGCCGTGGGGCTCCCGTCGTCTAGACGTGGAGACGCGAGCCCCCCCCCCCCCCCTGCCCCACCACCTCGTGTGTGTGGAGAAGTCTACCTTGCCTGGCTTTACCCAGGTGTCTGCGCCGGGCGCGAACTTCAACCGGTGCGACCTCGACCAGGTGTGCTTTCGCGGGTAGTGGGGCACTTCAGCGCGGGGCCGGTGGGGCGACCCTGAAACAAGAAAAACGGCGCGTGCGCCGACGCGCCCAGCATTTCTCTTTTAGATTCGCTTCACGGGCTCCGCGCTGCAGAACGCGACCTTCGTCGGCGCGAAGCTGATGGAGGCCAGCACATATCGACAGCACATATCTCCACACATCTCCCCACATCATTCTATCCCCATATGTTGTCCCCACATCTACCCACACGTTGTCCCCGATGGAATTATCAAATGATTCCGTTTGTGTGAATGATTACTCTAGGCCAGCTTTGCGGAGGCGGACGTCCGTGGCGTCGACTTCACCTCTGCGCGCCTCAACCTGGCCAGCTTTCCTAGACCTCTCCTAGACCTTTCCTAGACCTTTCTCCTAGTAAGACCTCTCCTAGACCTCTCCTAGACCTCTCCTAGACCTCTCCTAGACCTCTCCTAGACCTCTCCTAGACCTCTCCTAGACCTCTCCTAGACCTCTCCTAGACCTTTGCGCGCCTCACCCTGGCCACCGTCCGACGCGGCGCCCTCAAGCAGAAGCGGGTCGTTCACAGAGTGAACCAATCCTCGTTATTAGGCCACCTTCCGGCGTGCCAAGATGGCCGGCGCCCAGTTTAACCGCGCCGAGCTCACCGACGCCACGCTGGACATGGCCTCGGTCCAGGACGCGAGCTTCGTGGAGGTGCACGGCCTGGTATCTCGGCTCGACCTCGGCTCGACCTCGGCTCGACCTCGGCTAGACTTCGGCTAGAGCTCGGCTAGACTTGCCTGGAGCTCGGCTAGACCTCGGCTGGAGCTCGGCTAGATCTCGACTAGAGCTCGGCTAGACCTCGGCTAGAGCTCGGCTAGACCTCGGCTAGAGCTCGGCTAGACTTCGGCTGGAGCTCGGCTAGACCTCGGCTAGAGCTCGGCTAGACTTCGGCTGGAGCTCGGCTAGACCTCGACTGGAGCTCGGCTAGATCTCGGCTAGAGCTCGGCTAGACTTCGGCTGGAGCTCGGCTAGACCTCGACTGGAGCTCGGCTAGATCTCGACTAGAGCTCGGCTAGACTTCGGCTGGAGCTCGGCTCGATCTCACGCGAGGCGGCCGGCGCTAATACCCAAGGCCCTCTTGGGGTTACACCTTCGTCCCGCTCAGTAGCCTTCCGTCTCTTATGGGAGTCCCTCTCTGCGAGGAGCCGATCCGCGTACTGCTACCACCGAGCTAGGTGCGCGGCCTCGGCAAGGCCTCCTTCTTCGGCGTCACCGGCAAGGCGTGCTGCGACGCGCGGGGCGTGAGCCTGCATGCGGGCGTGTGCCACAAGGACGTGTGGCAAAAGGTGCGGAGCTGCAGTCTGTGACGCGGCCCCCCCACGCGCCGTGTGTGTTGGGACTCTGTCCTTCTCTCATCCGCATCCCTAGAGTTGGCGTGTCCGTTTTCCTTTTTTACCAAGTGGTCACGACCCCTCACTCGCTCCGACCCCCCCTGAGAATTAAATAGTGAGACACGCACGGGTGTCGGTGGTAGCGAGTGAGCCGCGCGCGCGCGCGCGGGCGCGCGCAGCGCGGCGCGGCTCGGTGGGAGTCGTGATTTGTCGCACAAGGATTCGATCAACGCCCGTCGGAACACTCACAAACATCGAAAATGTTATCGTGGGTGGCCTGGCGTAATTGACGTATAAGTCGTGCTGGCGCGCTAATGGCGCGTTTGATATTGGGATGGTGTGAACTCGCGCCATGGCTCGTCCATCATCGAGAGGTCTGCCCCTCGCTGGGTGTCACTCTATTAAACAAACACGTGCGGCCCACCCATCTCCACCTCGCACCTGCGGTGTGCGGAGGCTGCGCAGGGTCGGCCCACCACCGGCGGCCGCGGCGCGCTATATCTACACATTGCGAGATGGTGCATGCTGATGCGTGATGCCTCTCAACAAACGGAGTGCCTCTACACGGCAATCACCTTCATGCTTGCGTTCAAGTACGCAAGGAAGGTGGTCCACATCGAGGACCGGAGACTGACCAGTCCCGTGCCCAGGTGCCCGAGCTCGCCGTTGACGGCACCGGTGAGGCCCGATTCGTCGGTGAAACTGGCGTTCCGGCCGCCCCATACGTCTTACTGGGAGCTATAACGCACGGGCCCTCAGCGGAGCTGGGAATAGGACCGCCGCAAGCGGCGTGGCGTGGAGCGGTTGAGCATCCCTCCGGCCGGGGGCCCCTCTGCGCCGGGGAGGCGTTGTTGC